TTCCTAAAATTTCTAAAAGTAGAATGAAAGGCTGATTTTTTAGTTATCAGACTTCTCTCCATGGAACCAACAAGCAGTTTTAGTCAGTGAGACAGAAATCCTGTCTACTTTTAAGGCTAGGCTTAAAATGTTCCTCTTTGATAAAGCTTAAAGTTAAAAACAGTGTGTTATTTACTTAGTAACTGGGCGAGTAGAGAAGTAGGTGGAGCATTAACAGCCCGATCCGGTAGGGCCTGTTTTGGCTCCACAACAGTTAGGTTATCCTGAACTATTATTCTGTACATGTGCTGCTACATGTTTGGGCTGCTGGATCACATGGGGACCACCCCCCCCCGCTTCGGCTTAATTTTATTTCTGTTCTCCCAACCTCCGGTGTTTGTCAAGTTCTACTCACAACTTTATGCTGTCTCTGCTTTTTCTCATGGTAGCTTCATCTGGTCTGTTCCTCTTTAGCTGTGTCTTTCCTGGATGGGATCATCTGTGGAGCTAGTTACCAGTTACCTTTTGTATTTCTGCTTCTGTCTTTTTGAACCCCAGTCAGCATTGACAAATGGCTATTCAAAATGAGCTTTGTTCTGCTGAGATTTCCTGTCCACTGTCGCTACATCCATGCTTGGTCTGAGGGATTGCTGAAGAGTCAATGACAAAATGCAAGCAAATGTCTTCACTGCAGGCTCATCTAATATAAGCATGTCTTGCAAATCAATGGCTTGATGCAATCAATTGGTTTTCCTAACCCATCTGACATGAACCTCTCTAAAGTGCCTTGAGATGTTACGTGTTGTGAATTGGTGCCATACAAATAAACTGAATATAAATTACCTTCTCCCCATTAGCACCAAGAGCTATAAAGACCTATTAGTCACCCCTTTATTAGGTAAGGGAAACAACTAAGCATTCAGAATAATATGCCCGAAGGGGCCTGTTTGAAGACCACTGTTACAGAGAAGTTAAACTATTTTGTACATGTAACAAAAACACATTAACTGTATTTGCAAAAACAAAAACAAAAAAAGTATGTTACAGTATTGCCAGTACCAGATTGTTTTATACTCAGTATCAGATCGTAAAGGAAATTGGTGGTAGTTTACAAATTTGTAAAGAAGATTTAAGAGAAACAGTGTGTATTTTCAAATAAAACTATTCTGTTGATTCTGTTGATTTATGTTTAATTTATGTTGATTTATGCTCCAAAATATCAATCCAAGCTCAAATCAAAATATCAGAGCCCTCATTGTAATGAAGACAAAAATACAAAAAGAACACAAGAAAAGGGAGCCAGATTAATCAATGAAGAATGTAAGAACAGAACAGAAAACAGAACTTGCAGATTCATGGTATTCATCTGTCAGGGCAGCCACAGAGAACCATATTGGTTGGTTTGATTATTGGTCTATTACCCAGATCACTTGAAATGTTCTGAAAAATCTTTAAGAAAATGCTTACCAGAGCTACACTTCATGCCAAGGAACAATTAATTAAAATTAAAAAATGATCCACATCATGTGCGAGTTTTATGGGCGTAGGTCACAATAAGGGGAAAATGTGTTGCTTAGCGGAGGTCTGCGCTCTCCAAGTGCTTTTTCTAGTTTTTTAAATTTTATTAAGAGATAAAGCGGAAAAAATGAGCTGCTAAAAAACACTGTAATTTTTCAGATTTGCTTGGGAGGCTGACACCCTATGTAGTGTGATGAAGGCTCACTATATTAAATGTAATTTTAATTTATTATCTGATTCAACCAAACCAGAAAGTTAAAGTCTCCTAAGTTTTTAACTAATACATCATAGGAAAAATCTTCTCTGACCATAACTTTGTTTCGTATACACGTCTAATAATGGACCAGCAGTATCTGAAATACTATCTACACTTATGGCATTTGTTATTCAAAGAAGACAAACCTGAAATGCTTGTTATGACTCAGTCAAAACACAAAGGTTTTCTGAGGTCATACCATCAAAAAAACAATTTCCGTATGCAGACTGTTGTTCTTGTGTTATGAAAGGAGAGTACACCCTTGAATTAGACTCCCGTCACTCCATTGCTTTTTCTGTCAGAGACAATAAAATTAATTGAGGCGTCTTTAAACAAGTGTGTCTCTTGATTTTTGTTAGCTAATCTATACACAGGTGAATCCTTGTAAACCTCTGTGTAATAATTAGATACTGAAAAATAATTAGCTAATTTCACAAAAAAATTGGAATTTCAAGTTTTCTTATATTCCCATTTTGAAAGAGTTAGAAGCCATATGGATCAAGTTCTTGGAGAAAAAAAAGTTTCTAAAATATTAAAATTTTTTCAAGTTAAATAGTAAAAAAAAAAAACACCTTTGTATTATACAAAGAAGCCAACATGAAAAATTAATGGTAAAACAAAACTTGGCAAAATGAGCGCAATTAATTTTAATCATAGAGAAGGCCTGTCGTTTCATGCCAGCGTTTATTTTATTGATTTGATTAAGTGTCAAGTACTTTTATTGGTGCCCAGCCCTCATGTGCTCATTGCACATAAACATATAATTTACAATAAAAGATTACTGATGATTGGAATAGTAGTTTTGTTAAGGACAGCTGCTGAAATTTTATTGGATTAGGGATCCAGCTATGCCTTTGCAAAAGAGAGAGTTAGCCAATATATAAGCCAGACAGACAGCTTGTTACTGAGAATATGCCGAAGTTGTCCAGAGGTGTCCAGAGGTGTCAAGTAACAAAGTACAAATACTTCATTACTGTACTTAAGTACTTTTTAGATAGCTATACTTTACTCCATTACTTATTTTCTTCCTACTTTCTTTTACATTTTTAAAACAAACGTTACTTGTAACTCTTGGTTTCGGTTCAATATTTATAAATGTTTATTTCACGTCATGTGAGCCATCCAATGCACATCATTGGCACTATACACATCTAGTGAAAACTAGTGTAATTGGATGAGTTATATAATGCAAACACTCATTGGTTAGCTAAAGGAAATCATCAGAAGCAAGCAGGTGTTCTTCAAACTGTAATCATGAATTGTCTATGCCATGCTGCAATGTCGGATTCAGAAAAAGATGTTAAAATGTCTGAAAGGTCGGACACAGGCGAGAGCGTATCGGGAGACAGAGACCAACAAGACCTCCCTCATCCTTGGACCTATCTCAAAGAATCTTTCAAAATAGTTGAAAAATTGAGCTTTCAATTCATATAGTAGCATCTCGGCTGTTTTTATTTAAAGGTTACTTTATACTTTTATACTTTAAGTAGTTTTTAGAGCACATACTTTTTCACTTTTACTTGAGTAAAGAGGTAAAATTGACACAAACTTTTACCAAAGTGTTTTTAAACTGCAGTATCTATACTTCTACTTAAGTAACAAATGTGTGTACTTTTGAAACCACTGCTGTTGTCCCATGCAGATGATGATGAGTCAAACTTAGCCTAACTTTGTGATAAAGTGGCTCTAAGTTCTGTATCAGTGTTTCACATTGTTTTTGGACTAGAAACAGGAGACCCTGGCAGAGAAGGGTGGGTGGATTCAGATTTAAATAACTGCATTTCTTCCGTTTGCTGTTTT